GAGAGAGAGAGAGAGAGAGAGAGTAATACTTAAAAAAATTACTTAAGTCAGCTCGAGTAGTTTGTCAAGAGCTGAAACAAGGACACTGTGCTCAAGAAAACGAGGGTGAGGGCGAGGGTGGAAAGGAGTAGGGTGTGTGAGGCGTGAGGAGGTAGAAGAAGAAGTGGGGTGTGTTTGTTTTTTTTTTTTGGGGGGGGTGAGAAGGAAATCCCAGTTAGTACTGGCCTACGACATAACATAATAGTGGCGAACGGTTTTGACGGGGCGTTATGACCATGGACAATGAAATGAAATAACACTAAGTATACTTACGACCTTAGAGCATGCGTCAAAATAACATTGAGTGTGTATCTAGCTTACGATTATTATTGTTTATATTGCTATTCATTTATATTATGCATGTGATTGTAAGCCTACGTGTGTGTGCACGTGTGTGTGCGTTTGTGCTAGTGTGCGTGCGCGCGCGCATGCGTGTGTGTGTGCGCGCGCGTGTGTGTGTGTGTGTACACGTGGTGAAACACCAAACCAATGTGCCAGGATCTGGACAATAAAGATCTTATCTCATCTTATCTTATCTTATCTAAATAACGCAGCGCTGAGATAGAGCGGTTGGGGAGGCGGGGTGGGATTTTGGGGGAGGGAGAAGGGGGGGGAGAGAGAGAGGGGGGGAGAAATATGCGTGGGCTCAAAGTGGGAGAAGGGGGGGGGGGTGGACGCTAGACTTAATTAAGCAATCAGCGTTGTCTTCCAACTAATTGCAGTGTGAAAGAGAAGGGCAGCTGTTCCTATCTCATCTATATTTTGACTTGTTGGTTTGCCTTGTTCTTATCTGTTTGTTTTAGTTTTAGTAGAGGTTTTACGGCGCTCGCAACTGCATAATAAGGTCATATGAGCGCCAGAAGATTAGAGGTGTTACAAGAGAGTAATAAATATAAAAAAAGAAGAAGAGGAAGATAAGGATGATAGACGTTTCATAGGAAAGAAGAAGCAAACCACACCAGAGCACCCGCCAACCACCCACTCTTGTCTGTTTGACGAAGCTTTTGGATTTTTGTTTGAGAAAAAATAAAAAAAAGTATGTGTGTGTGTGTGTGTGTGTGTGTGTGCGTGTGTATGTGTGTGTGTGTGTGTGTGTGTTTTGGGTTGGGGTTTTTGTTGTT